GGGGGGGGGGGGAGACACGGCCGTTTCGCCCCCCCCCCTGCATTTAGAGCCATACATACAAAGAAATTTGACAACTTTGTTTCACTTGGTCGCAGAATGGCGTGCATAACAATAACAAATAAGAATTCCCTATTATAATATATTGCAGAGCTGCCAACCTCCAGAACAGAAAATCAGTAATCACAAGGCTCAAAATCAGTAATTTGGGGTATAAATCAGTAATTTCTTATGCGGCGCTATGAATCTAAAAAAACGACACGCCAACACTGCGCGGACGCATGATTATCTGAAATTTTGGTGATTTTACTCACACAAAGATGTTAAGTATGAATTTCAGGTCATCACAACACAGTTTATCATGAAAAATGGCTCCTATTCACAGCACTCGCTACGATAAATCATATTTAATTCATTAAAAAAAAAAAAAAAAAAAAAAAAAAATTTTTTTTTTTTTTTTTTTTTTTTTTTTTTTTTTAAATCCGTAATTTGAGACAACATTCCGTAATGGTCGTTAATTTCCGTACCAATACGGGAAATCCGTACTAGTTGGCAGCTCTGATATTGTGTCCAACTCAAACCAGGTTGGCCTAACTCTCATTTATCAATGCCTCTGTTCTCATGGAGAGAACAGCGACATCTATAGTCCATTACACATGCAGGGTTCAAAACAAGAATGAGAGAACATTCAGTCAAGGTGAGATTGGATTACGTTTATTAGGAAAAATAGTTTTATTTTCATTCGTTTCTTTTTTCTTTTTTAAAATAACAGAGCAGTTTTTTCACGAAGATAAGCCAACATAACAATCAAAGAATTAGGCATGACAATGGTTTTTAGCAAATTTTATGTATTTCATAAAAAAACACAAGCTATCCCTGACCTGATCGTCCAATTAGACGTAGCCCGCTAGCTGTACGACCACCCCGACCGACGGCCATGGAAGTGTTGAGATTACCAGGTAGGTTATCCGACATGACTAAGAAGAAGCGACCTAACGTTCTGACCAAAGTTTTGCCAAGCCTTTTTAAAATTCTAAAGCTAGGCCATACTATTCATAACATTTGAGTCGATGAGCCCAGATCATCCCCATAATTATAGACAGCAGGTTCATTTCACCCACAATAATGGGTTTACTTGATGGTTTCTAATACGTTTTCCTATACAAATCTTCCTAATTGCAACAACTTAATATATCTTGAAATTGTAAATAGTACTTCTAAGGAAACAAGTATAATAGATACAAGAATAATTTCTAACACTTCTTTCTTGTTGGTTCTCAACTTGAAGAAGCTTATAAAAGTTAAGTATTTAATGTCTTTTTCATCATTATAATTAGCCTGTAGTTACGGTATCATAATGTGTTAATGTTTGACATTGAAATCTTACTTTGGTTCGCATGCCATATATCATGATTATTATAATGCGTTTCACTGAATATTATAATAATAAATGGATTTGTATAATATCTAAAAGTCCTTAATCATTATTATAAAAAGGGAAATGATAGAAGTTTGAGATTATTCATGAGAAGAAACAAATCTGTAGCCAGTTTTTCATACAGTGTCATAATCAGTGCAATCATATGTATGATTACCTTTGTTGAAAAGAAATATCAACTGTATCATTTCTTAACAAAGTTATGTTTTTAAAAATAAAATACATTCTAAATACAGTAGGCTACTTCCCGCTCTCTTTGCCAGCTAGACAAACTTATTAACAAGACAGATTAATTCATGTCACACTTATTATATCAATATAATGAAACACTGAAATACTGTTTGGTTGCAAAAATGAAAATGATAATATCTGATTAAATACATACTAATATTTCTTTTTCTCTGGATAGTACTTCTTCTCCCGGGCAGGGGGTTAGTATAATCATGAGCTTATTACTTAATCATCCCTTCAGATGATCTATCTAACATCAACCTTAATCCATAAAGTACTTAACCATGATTTACATCAAACTCCTAAATGATTCTATTATTTTCAAAACCATTTCACAACGATCAATTTTGCAAGGTCCTAATAAAGACTATATTTATACATTGCAACATCAATGTTTGAGTCCTGCCTTCTGGTCGCAAATATTAAAAGGACTATGTAACATTGTTCAGATGAGAGATAGTGGTGCTAAGGTAGTGACTTCAATGCTAGATGTACAATTAAAGATAATCTGAAAATTTGAGTGAAAACGGACCATTATTCATGGTAAAAATTGGGGAAAACTGATCTGATCGATTCCTTAATTCTCCCAACTATATTATTGCAATTTAATTACATTTTAGGTGAATGGAAATCTCACAAAGCAATACAATCGCTCTACATTCCATTCCAGACATTTAAGTGTTGACAGGTTTTTTATAGCCTGTTTAATGTCTTTTTTTTCATGGAAAAACGGTTGGAAAATTCAAAAATGGTTGGGAGAATTTACTGTTAATCACTGTTAGAGGGTGTCGTACATCGACGCCTTCAAAGAAAACCATAGATATCTTTGTGGTTTGAGAATTTTTTTCAGGATTTTTTGCATGTCAGAGGGTTAGTACAGTACAAGGAATATAGTAAGTAACATTTTATACACAAATTAAGCAATTTTTTCGTCAACCTTCCACAATGTTACCAAGTCACTTTAAGATCTATAGCCTTATGTGTCAACCATGAACTACAAGGCAATCCAGCAATGTATTCATTACCCTTACCCTCAGGCTGGTTTCTTGCAATCGTGTAGTATATAATCTCCGGAGCAAGACCCGTCATTTTCAAATGTGAACGATTAATATTATGGACAGTGATTGGTTCCTGCTATTCTGTGTGATGATTTCAGGGTTACAGCTATTGACAAGCAACATGACATTTTGACAACATGACAAAACAAACACATTTATTTATAAAAAAATACAATGTAGTACTGAAAAGAGTGTGCAGTGTACGATGCTGTAGCTAGCTGTGCAAACCGTCTTTCTTCTTTAAAAAATATCTTGCTTGTGCATATAACATCATAAGGTAAATCATTTCCTTGATTTGTTTTCCTCCATTGTACATGAATGGATATGCAAAGTTTTTTTGTGTGACTTAGGTCCTGGTAAATTACGCAACGTGATTTGTTTTTCATCCATCTGTACCCTTGATGGTTGCATTTAAAGACGTTTGTTGTCACTAAGTGTGCGTCAGAGAGGGGAAAAGGGTATACCAATCACTTTGACCCTTGTGTCTCTCTTCCCAATATGGACCACTACATCGGGGATTTCCCTTTTCTAGAGCAAAAAGTCTAACGTGCATAGGTGATTACACTCCTACACACAGGACCTCCATTTAATGTCCTATCCGAGGGACGGAGGGTCACGTAAACACACAACGATGTCTTGCGTCATCCGCCTACAGGCGATTCGAACCTACGATCTTTAGTTTGACGCTTCGCCAACTGAACCAACTAGCCTCTCCAACTCTGGCAAGTTACAAGCATTATATCAATAAGATACGTGTATAATCAAAAGTATGTTATACCTGTGGCAAAAATGATATCTGTCCAATACGGCACTTTGGGGGAAAGAAGGTAGCAGTATGATTTTACAGCTCATTTTGACACATAATTACAGGCGGGTTAAAGAAGTCAGAAGTGTAGTAGGGGGAAGGGGGTTGTGATATTGTTTCATGTTTTTTCTCCAAAGGAGGGTCCCTTAGCCCCTTGAAACATCCAGGATACTCATATATACAATATCAGTTTCAAGAAACAGTACAATTTCATTTGGGATAAACACTAACTTCGTCATACATGTACAAGACTGTCATTTTCAAGAGCTGCTTTTAAGACATACTGGCTTTCTCAAAATTGCCAACCCCCAAACATTCAGGATACTCAAAATAAGTACACGAAATACTGAAATAGTAATTTACAAAAATTGTATACCTGAGCAATGTCCATTTGGAGGCTCGTTTCTTTCTTTCAATGAGTACTTTTAAAGGCATCGTTAAACAATGTTAAATCTGAGATGCATGGTCCTACATGTTATCAGTGTCTGTGATGTGGTGTACTATTGAAGCCCTAACAAAAATTGCGCTTCAACTGAAAATGATCATGAAGTGCCTCAAAAAAGTAAAAATCTTTGAGTGACCTGTTTTAACTTACTGATTTTCCCCAATAGACTGTAGTGTTATAAAAACCTTTAGGAAAACGAAAAGTGAAATTTCGATTTCCAATCATAAATATCTTGATAATCAGACAGGCGATCGGCTTGTACAAGTCATGGGGTTCCTGACTGACCTAACGGTTTATAATTATGATTGCAGCATGAGCTAGCTCCAGGATTTTGTTTCAGAAACTGAGGCAATGTTATCGAGTCACTTTAAGGCTCCAAAGCCCTTCACATTTATATGAACTGCAGCAAATCAGACTATGATTATGTCCTGAAATAAATCATCAGTGATGTAAAAAAATGTTTGAAATTTGTCAATACTTACTCTGTTTTATTGTCCCGCCCCCCCCCCCCCATTTTTTTTTTTTTTTTTTTTTTTTTTTTTTTAAATCTGTGGAACCAGTTTTCCAATCATGTTATCAGTCAAAATTCCTTACTTGTAATGGAATTAAGTTATGGAATGACCTAGACAATGATATTAAACTAAGTAAAACTTTGGATAAATTTGATAAATTAAAAAAATCTTGAAGAATGAAATGTTCTTGCAGTATAAAAAACATGCCAATTAAATAATGAATAATTTGCTCCACATGTTTTGTTAAGTTTTGTAATAAAGCAAGCACCGGCTAGGGGCGCATATAGGGACGCAGTGTCGCTTGACACTGTGTCCTGTGTGCGTTCATGGCCGGTGCTTTGCTGTCATGCTCACATACTGTCTTTATAATCTTTTTCTTGTATATATTTGTTTTTCCCGTTAATGTTGTTTTTGTTAATTTCTCGATATATATGTCATGGTTGGTGCCCCAACCACAAGTTTGTATTCAAACTTCTTTAGGGGCTCCTAACCCCATGTTTTTATATTTCCATGATTTATTGTAACTGTATTTTTATGGTTGAAATAAATTGAATTGAATTGAATTGAATATGGAAATACCACGAAAACACTAAAAGCTAAGTACAGCAAAAGTGTTGCCACTAACTCAAAATGAAGTATGAATCAGTACCATTGATCAGGGATTGAAATTCCCCTCTGACATCTTAACTTTTTACCCCTCAAATCTTTTCAAAAAGGAGCACATACTGATTATAATGCTCTGATTCAACTGTGATGCGGTTCAAATGTAATGTAGTAAGAATGAAAAAAAAATATCTCTAAAATATCTCACATTAGTTGATACAAAATATAACTCCTGCAAATATTCAACAAAGCAAAGTGATGGTTTTCAAACAGGAACGGCCACATTTGACCGAGTCTTCAACTGAAATAATTTTCATTAGCAGTTTATAGTAGATAAATATTGTGGGTATAAAACTTGTATCATTTTGTTGCTACCGTACATCAAGCACATCATCTACAGTAGCATGGTAATCAAACATAAGGAAATCAATTAAATATCGGTTGTACAGTTTTGTTATGTCATTACGCGGCAGAGTTGAGAAGTACTTCTGTATAAGGTCTGGATCGGAACTGTTGGTAGGTGAACTGCCCTCTGCCGATGGAAAACTGACAACTTTATCTGCCCCACTGACGCTCAAGATATACCGCGCATCGTCCTCGAGCGTTTCAATCTTACCAATCATGTCATACTGGATCATGCACGGAAGGCAACTCATATGTAAATCCCGCCAGTGCTTGTTGCCATTCTTTTGTCCTCGAGGGGTGTAGATAAATTTCACAAATTCACCAAAGGAAAGGTCATAATTGCTCATATTGAAATTTTGCCTCGCAACGCGCAGCTCCACGGCGTCCTCTCGGAATGCGCTCATGATTTTGGTACCGATTTTTTTCTGCCATTTTCCCGCCCGAGAGAACGTACTGTCTGGGGCCAGTTTGTTCCGGTAGGCTGAAAGAACACGGGAAAATGGGTGTCTGGCGAACATGAACTTGGTGTAGGTCTTGAGGATGTGCCTCCGTTCTGCTTCGGGGTAAGACTGGAGTGACTTGAGACTCCTGGCCCCTTCACGATTGGTGAAGAACTGCGGAATGCTTGCGGTTGAATTGTACTGACCACTCAGTACTAAGAACACTTTCTTCCAATTAGTACAAGCAACCTTCTGAACGTAGCAGTACATCAGTTTATATTTGTCGTCTACAATAACGTTCCAGGGCGGGTGCTTCGCCATGTCCGTCTCGGGATTTGGGTGGTACTTCTTGCAGACGCGCTCCATGTTATACTTGCGACGTTTCTGAATCTCTTTCTGGGCGTTCATAAAGGACACCTTGCTCGGGTAGGATCCGTTCAGCAAACTGATTGAATCATCTTCTTCTTTTGACGATCCTATATTCACCTGTAATTTCACATAAACAAATAAAAGAAAAATTGTACATGTCCAGGGCAATATAAGTAAACATGCTAAAAACTAAAATTCTCAAAATTGATTATGATAATACTCTGGATTTTAATAACACTCAATTTAAAAAAAGAAGTAATCTCTCTATGCTCAGCCTAAACCACCACCCCAATTCTCGACATTGACAGCCTACAACATTTAAGTAATATCCCACTCCGAATATGTACAGTGTGTCCCAGAAAAGACGAAACCGAGAATTGTCAATGTTCTATCATAACTTAGTCACATTTATAGTCGATAAATGACACATATTTGGAAAGCTTAGATCCTCCTCTTTCATTTGATGCAACTCATATGATGCATATTTCACGCATGGGTGATTCAAATGAATTTGAAGAGCAGACACCAAAAAGTAATTTGGCGGACGGTATCTAAATTTCAAAGAGAAAATCACATTTCTAGAAAGCTGAGTTTCTGCCCTTTCATATGACACCTCAGTCAGGAAAAATGAGCTAGGAATAACAAAGTTCTGTTTGTTTTGAGTAGTGCTTGCATTCCATGATTTTATCAAACGAATACGTTTTCACTGGCTGCCTGCTGTAGCAACAAGCAGAATCGACAAAAGACTTAACTCTGTTTCGTTAACAATTAGCCATGCATGAAGTCTTTCGTCGACAATTCTCAGTTTCGTTTTTTTCTGGGACGCACTGTATATAGCATCGACAGTAAAATGACATCAAGGTTGATAGTCACCTGCGCTTTCTTTTTTCAAATCAAACTTCAAAATTAACTAAAACAGGTCAAAGATGAACTTAATTATCAAACACCATGATTATGAAACAATCTCTTGTCAAAATAAGAAAACTGTATGCTTATTCATCCGTTACAAATCTCCATGTAATTATGGTGTCGATTTGATATTCTAATCTCTAAGGACTCCCGAAAGTGCCTTCTCTTCTGCCTGTAAATGCATTCTCTTCCATAATACGTCATTGACACCGACTCCAAAATGACTGATTTTTTTGTTACCACTTGGGGTCGTGTAATCTTTTGTTTGGTCTATTTAATATTCATCTGCTATAAATCTAGTTGGTGTGATGAAAGCCAATTAAAGACGAATATTATAACAACGTTCATAAGAAAGAGAATTATGTTGAATGCATGTTTGAATGGCAGAACTGTAATCATCGTGGATTCAGAGAAATAAAGGATGAAACCAAAAGACGAAGAATGTTGTTCTTACGTGTACAGGTAATGAATCCGTCTCTTGGTCTTGGTCTTTGTTCACAGCCTGCAATGGTAAGACTCCTTCGGGATGTATCCGATCTATTTGGGAGAGGGAGAGAGAGGCAATATTTCTTGTGAACAACTATTGTCCAAGTAAACATGATGACTTTCTAATTAATAGCATAATACTTTTCTGAAGGAGTCCTATTTCTTTTTTTTTTAATTCTGGTGGACATCTAGAAAAAAAACAACATTATTTTAGTGTACAACCACACAGGATTCATACATTGACGCAACTATCGCATAATTTGTCCATTCTGTCACCCCCCCCCCCCTCCCCCGACAAATCACAGTGTTCTTCTGTTTTTCCCTTTTTCATGACTCATTGAAAGTGACTTGTAATAATATTGTATTTCCCTTTAAGTCAACCTGATTTTAGTAGACGGAATTACATGTCAGATGTAATCATTGAACCAGACGGGCATAGGTAATGATGCCGATACGTTCGTTAAAAGCATATAACGCTCTCCCTCTCTCTCCCTCTCTCTCTCTCTCTCTTTCTCTCTCTCCTGATTTGTATGTGCCCCCGTCATCCTTAACTCGCTATTTTTACGTATAATCTGATATCATTTAACTCTGGTCCGTGTTGCTCATTAGAAATCTACTCTACGATAACAGATACTGTAGGGAGAAAGCGCTTGCATCGAGCGCAAATGAGCGCAAATGAGTTGGGTGCTTTTAGGCTGGAATATAATTAAGCTTATTGCGAAGTAACCAATCATGTCTTCGATAAAGATCACTCTAATTATTTTTTTTTCATTTAGAAAAAGTCAATTAAGGGAATGAAAAAGTATTAGCCAAACATAACGTTTCGAACCACCACTTTATATCTTCTACATGAAAATTTGAAAAGTAATTAAATTCAACTTTTGTTCAAAACGAAAACGAAAATTGTCTATTGACTAAAAAATACTACGCAAGATAAGCTTATTGCGAATCAATCATGTCTTTGTTAAATATCACTCTCATTTTTTTCATTTAGAAAAAGTAAATGAAGGGAATGAAAAAGTATTAGCCAAAAATTACGTGTCGAACCACCACTTTATATCTTCTATATGCAATTTTGAGAAGTAATTAAATTCAACTTTTGTTCAAAACGAAAAACGAAAATTGTCTATTGACTAAAAAATACTACGCAAGATAAGCTTATTGCGAATCAATCATGTCTTTGTTAAATATCACTCTCATTTTTTTTTTCATTTAGAAAAAGTAAATTAATGGAATGAAAATGTATTAGCCAAACATTACGTGTCGAACCACCACTTTATATCTTCTACATGCAATTTTGAGAAGTAATTAAATTCAAAATGAAAAACGAAAAATGTCTATTGACTAAAAAATACAACGCAAGATAAACATTATTCAAGGGCTAAATAAAAAAATTAAAAGTCTAATAATAATACAAAAAATGACGTTCTGAATTACAATATAAGTTTATTTCCCTTTTTGTACATAAATATAAATGTTGTTTACTGTGCCGGGAGACTGAGGAAACACTGGCCACTTCCAACTTATGATAATATAATAACGGGATGAGTGAAAATCCGCTACTACATGAGTTACATTATGAATCACTTCGTTTTTGGAGTTGAATCTACTCAAAATTATAGTGGAATACGTTGTCAAAATTGGTTTTAATTACTCTTTTGAGCATAGATATCCACGACATGATCTCTAATTCTTTAAAGAGTGGATTTACACTCAATATATACATATTGCGAGAGTATAGAGTATATATAATCCTTTACATTCAAATAACCCTCTAAATTCTTGCTGGCCCTCAGACCCTTACACGACAGGCCAAACTTAATGAAATGAAAAAAGTCGGGAGAAATTAATCAACTCATCACTTAAACATCTGAAGCGTGAATCTGTCTTGATCGTCATCATAATCTCTCGTTTCCAACCAGCTCATTTCCAATTATATCAAAGATAGTGAAGTAAAAAAAAAACTCTTTCTCTTTGTAAGATATTTTGTTTTGGTAAATGACTTAATGAATTCATACAAAGTTTGATTGTCCTAAATGGGTTGCATACCTCGTCATTATAAACATTACAATTATCTATCTAGTGTCAAACCCAAACGCAGGGGAAGACAATTCCGTTTTCAGGCAAGCTATCTGCTTATACAACAAAATTAAACAATCATAATAATTCGAAGTTAGTTAATAGAATAAACAACCAATTGATGTCTTTTGTTACCTATGCGTTATAGTGCGATCTAATAGCTACTTTCGGATTGCACAGCACACGAGGCATTAGAAAATTTTGTTCTCACTACCCATGAGAAATTTCAGCATAATCAGTGAATCCTGTTAATTTATTGTTTTGAGAAACAAATAACTCACCTGTTATTCTACCAAGTACTGATGATTGTATGGACGGTGTTGAGGGCGAGATGTAGACCAAGAGAGTGAAGGTTAGCATTAAAATCAATGCACACCAAAGTGCGAATTTACTCATGGAAGCCATATTGAATCGTGCTTTCATTCAAACTGTTAAAGATAAATAAAAGAGTGACAAAGAGAAGAACGTTCGGGATTATTAAATCAAATAAAGATGACAACATAATAGAAATATAACTGACATGAAACTTGATAATTTTCTTATAAGAATGATAACGAACAGTTATATTTTCAAGCTAGCAAAACTAAACTTACTAAAGTAATGCCACAAAGTAAATAACGTCACATCGTTTCAAAATAATTTAGAAAGATAGTTCCCAGAAATTAAAAGCAAGGAATACGTTGTTCAAAATTCTTTTGTTCATTTAAATAAGGATGATTGATTATAATCAAGTTTATCTCGACATCCTTTGTCCACAAACGAAATAGAAAATAGAGTGAGTCATTCATTTCATCAACGTTTTTCTTGTAGATGATCCTATACATGCCGCAACTGCATGGGAAGGTAAGAAACCAAAGTTGTTATATTCTGTTACACCAGAAATGCGTTAACTCTGTTCAAAACACAACATCCTTGTGTCTCGTTGTGCATGTGATGAATGGATATCTGTAGCATAATGTTGAGAGACTTGTGTTTTGTTGTTGCTCACAAAGCATTGCGTCGTGGCTTATACATTGTTTGATAAAAGTGGGTATATAAATCACATCGAATCCCGGGAGAGTGATCACGGCTAGATGAAACCATGATCAAAGGCGATACTAATCATTCTAATGGATGCATTCCTTGTTGGCCTGTTTTTAAAGATGATAATCCAGCCTTTCTTAAAAACAGTATAGGGTATACAGTGTGAATCAAAAAAAAGTTTACACCTAGAAAATTGCTAATTATTTTAAAAATCTATGAACAGTAAATTATTATACATCTAATGAAAGAGTGGTTTATCCCGAATCATTTAGTATCATTGTGTGTGGTATGTGTCCATGCGAAGATTTTCAGGAGGCATTGTTTTCGAGAGTGCAAAATCGACCAAAGTTGCTTATGACTGATGTTTGAATAAAATTTGGTCTTTGCAGATCCAAATAACATCCGTAACAAAATTAATCATGCCACACATAATTATAATATCAACGAACGTTTGTGTTTGAGTTTGTGTGTGTGACTTTGCTTCTGCAAAAATCATATGCAATTTGCATTTCATTTGATACACTCCATTCATTCTCTCACTCCGGTAATCCCAACATAATACATACTGTAGGCCTCAATTTGCGCAAGTCGATTTTGCACTCTCGCAAACAATGCCTCCTGTTCACTCAAGCGTGAACACCTACCACACAAAATGATACCAAACGATTTGAGATAAAACACTCTTTCATGTATAATAATTGACTGCTCATAGATGATTTTTTAAATAATTGGCAATTTTCTAGGTGTAAACTTTTTTTGACTCGCATGGTATATCGAGGCATATTATCAAGCAGGAGACGGACCTATGGAACGGACCCCCCCCCCCCCCCCTCCCCCGATGGTGAGGAGAAGTGTATCTGGGTAGCCCTGGATCCCGCATATTATACCTACGGGGAAATTTATTGACTTTTTCAATCTGAGCCTTCAACGGGCCCAATGGGCTTATGGCATCTCACCCCTATATACGATGGGTATACGCCATACAATCGTGAAAACATTTCGCATAATGGATGGGTTCAATGATGCATTTGCCGTTTACGTGGAATTTTAATTTCAGTAGAGAGCGTCAGTCAGGAGATCGGCTTGGACAAAAACCCAATAAATTAAGTTGGTTTAAAATAATGAAGTTTCCTGTCAAGCATAACGAATCATGAGACATCGCTTCAGTATTCACAGATTATTTCCCATGTTACTTGTCTCATAATTATTATTCTACCCTCCAGTGAAGAATCACACATTTTTCTTTCAACACCCATACATCACTCGAGTGCGTTTTATAACACGCAGTTTATGTGAATTAAACATCATGGAAATCGATGAGATGACTCGGGGTCTCCGAAATATTCTGGTCACACATAGTTCGTTGAAACGAAAAAGAATTGTTATGGGTGTAAAGATATAATATATACAATCTTCACCGGTTCATCAAACAAAATAAACAACAACAATAACAAAGAGGAATGAAGACCGAGATAAGACCATGGTTTCCAATCGCGTTAAAACATCAACTGTAAAGATTAAAGCCCAATATCCAATATAAAAAATTGACACACTTCCCAATTTAAGGAAAATTGGATTTCACACCAAATTCTATATATGAAATCCATGCACCAATAATGATAAGAAAATATCTTGAAAAATATGCACCCTCAACACATTAACTTACGCGTAGCTTTGAAAACTTGTAGTTCGAGGAGATCACACGACAGTTCACATGATAATTTCCTTAGGAACAAAATAGAAGCTCACGTAATCAATGCAATGCTTCTCGATATCTCACCACCATAGAAGACATTAATCTCAATCTGAAGTTGATACACCATCGACAGACATTATTATGGAGCACGGTATGACCAACCAATAAATTTGTTTGGTAATTTCTTTTCACGCCAAACTCGTTCGTTGGCTTTCAACAGCGTAACCACAACTCACTCGCTTGATGTAGTTACTTGTGTGAATGTTCAATATTACACCCAACCCGACGACGACGATCTTTTTTTTTTTACGATGGGGCGTGAATCGATTGGAGGGACACTCCTCCCTTACACGCATAGTCATATAGTCTCATTTAACAGACTTATTTTCGTAGACTAAACCCAATCTATCTCAAATACCTCATGTGCAGTAACAATAGTAGAGAACCACCATGCAGCACAATCATTATCCACTTTTTAAAAACCCCTCTCGCGAGGCATAGGACAAAGTCTCAATCATTTCATTAGTATGATTACAAGGCTATACTTAATCCTATATTCTGATTTCAACTATATTTACGCAATATTTTTTATTCAGATAATTCGATATCATGTCCCATAGCTCGCCTTTCACTAAACTTTTACTTGAGAATGTCTAAACATAACTGATTTGCAATAGAACTTGTATAGCTTGATTTCAAACAACTTGCAAGCCGGTCACGTGATTGGTTTCAAATCCAATGTCTTTCTTCATCTTCCTTATGTATGTTTCACTGTGGAATTCGCTGCATTGTCGTTCTTACATGAATGATTGTACTTTAGATTGTAAATTACATTGAATAGTAAATGTGATTGCTTACTGTTGCGATATCACAACAACAACAACACAACAACGCGGTCATCTTCCCAAGACGAAATGCTATAGAAAGATGTATTAGAATTAGGCCTATATGAATTTAGAAGATAATATAATGCTATGTTTCCTTACTGATAATATTCAAGACTTCGACATTTTTCGTAATTTATTTATTGACGTACAAGCGAATAGAACATAGTATCTCACCGCCATACATGACGAGTAGCAGATGCAAACCCCCTATGGCTCAATTCCTACACATTGCATCGTTAAATGTGCGTAGTTAGGTGCACCATTAGAGGTTACATTTTGCACACTAGGGCAGTAGACAGTCGGGCTTCGTCTGTGGGTACAGAATAACTTTGGTGCAACGCGAAAGAATAAAGTTGAACCTTGCGAGGTTCGAAACTTACGTTAATTTGTTTGTCTGTTTCTTATAATAAATTATTAATTTTGGGATCAAGGAACATAAGGCTATTAGTTATTTTTTGTTGAACCCTCATTCTTATAACTTGTTTCGTGTAATTGCTCTGTATTGTTTTCGTTTGATGATGATCTGTTGTTTATAAATTATGTATATTATGTACCTTGTTTTTATTAAGAGTGAAAATAAAGACTAAACTGAACTGAGCTAAAAGGGTTTCCACCCTGCTGCTGTTGCAGCGTTTAATACAGGTTACAAAATGATCCTGATTTCTTGGAGTGTATATACACACACACACGCTCTTTTATAATAGTCTCCATCTCTCATAAGTATAAATACCATAATGAAAACTAAAACCTCATCATAACAGATTTTACCTTTAAATGTTACCTTTAACAGACTGGTAATCTAATTACTGCTTACATTGCTTTAAAGACAGACGGGGTCCAATGCTTAAAACACACACACACACACACACATGCACGCTATAGTGCATTCATATCTAATGACGAAAGTACAGAGCCGATGGATAAGAGTGTTAAGAATGACTTTGATTTATGGGTGCATGGAAGCGAACCCTCTCTCTCATCAAGCGTGAGATGACGCAACCATGCAAGGAGATGGCACCCACAAAATGGTTAGTCTAGCCCGGCAGCCTGTTTAGTGCGTCATTTGCGATGACCTACTATTAAAAAAAAAACTCACATGGTGTGTGTGTTGTGGCCAGGGTGGTAGTGGCATAGTGGTAAAGTAAGATGCGAAGAGTTGCTGGTGGCGGAGGCGGTGGCCATCGGTGCATAAAGTAGTAGTATTATAGAAGTAGTAGTAGTAGCACTAGTAGTAGTATCAGAAGTAGTAGAAGTTGTAATAGTAGTAGTAGTAGTAGTAGTAGTAGTAGTAGTAGTAATAGTAGTAGTAGTAGTAGTAGTAGTAGTAGTAGTAGTAGTAGTAGTAGTAGTAGTAGTAATAGTAGTATAGTGGTGTTGGTGATTGTGGTAATTGTTTTTGCTGTCCTACAGTATGTAGTTGTTGTTGTTGTTGTTGTTGGTGGTGGTGGTGACGGCAGTAGAAGAAGTATTGGTCAGTAGCAGTTGTACAAGACAGTCTCAATAATACTCAATTCCAAAGAAACGGAATCGAGCCATTATCCTATAAAATATAATTGGATCAAAATAAATACAAATGTAATATGGGTAAAACTGTGGAAGTGTAATCATAGTTTTGAGCCATGCCGCCTGCTCCCTCTCTCCTCTCCCCATCCCCCCCCCCCCCCAAATCTCTCTCTCTCTCTCTATATCTTTCTCGCTCTCTCTCTCTCTCTCTTATCCTCCTCCTCCTCCCCCTCTTCTCCCCTCCCCCTCCTCCCCCTCTCTCACTGGCCTCAAAAAACACAAATGTATGGCAAGAACGAGAGAGGTTCAATAACATAAA